TCGCTGTGTACGGTCACTGTGTACGGGCTGCGATCGCTGTGTACGATCGCTGTGTATGGTCGCTGTGTACGGTTGCTGTGTACGGGCTGCGATCGCTGTGTACAGGCTGCCATCGCTGTGTACGGTCGCTGTGTGTGGTCGCTGTGTACGGTCACTGTGTACGGGCTGTGATCGCTGTGTACGATCGCTGTGTACGGTCACTGTGTACGGTCGCTGTGTGCAGTCGCTGTGTGCGGTCGCTGTGTACGGTCGCTGTGTGCGGTCGCTGTGTACGGTCGCTGTGTACGGTCGCTGTGTGCGGTCGCTGTGTACGGGCTGCAATCGCTGTGTACGATCGCTGTGTACGGTTGCTGTGTACGGTCGCTGTGTACGGTCGCTGTGTACAATCGCTGTGTACGATCGCTGTGTACGGTCACTGTGTACGGTCGCTGTGTATGGTCGCTGTGTACGGGCTGCAATCGCTGTGTACGATCGCTGTGTACGGTCGCTGTGTACAGGCTGCGATCGCTGTGTATGATCGCTGTGTACGGTCACTGTGTACGGGCTGCGATCGCTGTGTACGGTTGCTGTGTACGGTCGCTGTGTACGGGCTGCGATCGCTGTGTACGGGCTGCGATCGCTGTGTATGGTTGCTGTGTACGGTCGCTGTGTATGGTCGCTGTGTACGGGCTGCGATTGCTGTGTACGGGCTGCGATCGTTGTGTACAGTCGCTGTGTACGATCGCTGTGTATGGTCGCTGTGTACGGGCTGCGATCGCTGTGTACGGTTGCTGTGTACGGTCGCTGTGTGCGTGTGCTGCACAGGCCCGATCTCATCTCAACACCTCCGCATCCTCTAGGGCAAGCAGCATCTCCGGCTTACACGTGGGGAGCAGAAGCAGTTTTGAGTCATGTGTTTACAGTCACAGAGCTGGGGACGGCACAGCCACTTGTGCGCCTCTCACTGCCTCCTGCACGCTGTCATAACTCAGACGTGGCATGGCCCGGGGGCTCTCTGCACTGTGGCTGGGGGCGCTGACCGCGCATTTTCCCACCCTCTCATTCCTGGTGCCACCTCCAGGCCAGTTCAGAGGCTGCTGTTGCCTCCCCAAGTTTGGAGAAAAACTCTGTCCCTTGGTAGCTTTGAACCTGGCTAGGAATGGCAGCTCCTCTCTCAATTCCTAGAGCCCTGATAAAGAATCACAAAGATATAAATGCAGAGATGACACAGCTACTGAGAGGCTCTGGGTTGAGGCTTTGTCACAATCAGTCCTGTTTCCTCTGCCAAGTGCTGGAACTAGCTCCTCTGCATCCCACCCACAAGTCCTGTGTGCCTCCCTGATGAAAGCCCCTCCTAGAGCAAGATTTATTTCCATGACTCAGACCCCTTGGTAGCCACTGCCTGGAGAGCTGTGTTGAGAAGGATTCTGAGGTCACACCTAGGGGAGAGAGAGCTGTGATCCATTAGCAATGCCTGCCATGTGTGCCGCTGTGAAAAACTAGCACAGACTAGGTTTTTTTTCTTCCCCAGGTGAGTGTCTCAGTAGCTGAGACCAAGAGAGACGAGAGGCGTGGTCTAGTCTTAGAGCCTCAGTGTTCTGATCTCTAAAATGGACTAACGGATGTTTCCAGCCACAGTATTCTTGACTCGGAATATAGGTTCTGTCTAGAGCGAGACCCAGGAAGGGAACCTACCACCACCACCACGTGGGTCTCCATTAGTCAAGGAAAATAGGAAAAAGCCACTGAAAACAAAGCCACTTAAAAAGAGCAACAAGGCCAGGCATGATGGCTCATGCTTGTAATTTTTGGGAGGCCTAGGTGGGTGGATCGCTTGAGGTCAGGAGATTGAGACCAGTCTGGGCGACATGGTGAAACCCCATCTCTACAAAAACACAAGAATTATCCATGCATGATGGTGCAGTCCCAGCTACTAGGGAAGCTGAGGCGGAAGGGTTGTTTTAGCTCAGGAGGTGGAGGCTGCAGTGAGCTGAGATCGCACCATTGCACTCCAGCCTGGGTGATGGGGCAAGAGACCCTATCTCAAAAAAAAAAAAAAAAAAAAAAAAGAGAGATGGAAGGTACAAGTTTCTAGTAAATAGCAGCAAAAAAAATAGTGGAATTGGCATTCGAATATAGAAAACAAAACTACGAATTATTCCATTGATTTGTCCAACATTTAACAAAATTTAGATGATGATTGCATCCCTGTTTTAGAACACGGTGAAACAGTCTTTGAGGAGTGGGATGAAAAGGTTCTAAGTCTTCTGACAGTATTGCCTCATAGGGCAAGAAATTGATGACTTCTTGGTGGCTGTGGAGGTGTCATTTCTGGCCGTAGGATGACACAGATGTTTCTGCAAAAGTGTCGGAGGACTTCTCAGTTCCCTCACGGGCTTCCTACTCCTTGAAGCACTTCCTGAATCTCCGAGGATGTCCGTCCCATGGAACCAGCTTCTGCAGAGCCCCGGCCTCCTCCTTGTCTGGGTGTTGGGATGTTTTCAGCATGAGACCCCGACCCTCTCAGGGTGTGTGGGTGTGCACTGGCAGAGCAGCTGCTGCATCTGGGGGCATTTAGGACATTGCCACTCTGAGTGGGAGCTTGGCTGGGGGACACAGACTTGGTGGCCAGGTGCAGGGCTCCATGGGAGGGTGCTGCTAGTTTTATATTATTTGCTAGGGACCAGCTAGTTTTATATTATTTGCCATCACGAGTGTCCCGTCTTCATAGCCAGCCTTGAAATGCTGGCACTCAAACAAGGAATTCCCAGGTGGTGAGGCCCCATGCTTACACCTTAGCAGCCCTTGGGTCCTCACGTTGTCCAGGCCCAGGGACCCTGCACCCACTCTTGCTCCAGGCCTCGAGGGGGTAGAGAGGAAGCCCTGCAGTCTCAGGCCACCCCCCACCGAGGCCTCTCCCCCATAATCCTCCAGGCTGGGCTGCCCCGCCCTCGTCTGCTACACAGATTACCTCCAGGCGGTCATCTGCATCCTGGAGATGTGGAACCTCCACCCCAGCACGCTCACTCTCACCTGGTAAGTGGCCGGGCCTGGCCAGTCCTCAGGGATGCAACCCACGGTGCCTGCTCAGTGATTCCACCCCCAGGAGGCCGCAGCGCGCGGAGGACCACAGTGCCCACCTTTCAGGTGACCACTCAGGGCTCACAGGACTTGAAAAGTCAGGAGCCCCAGGGTTGATCTATCCACCCATTGCAAAGGCCAATCTCTTGCCCACACAGGCCGGGCCATGGTTTTGAGACCCCAGGATGGCCAGTCTCCTGCATAATTTTTCAAGCACTTAGTAGGTTCCAGGTCCCCAGCTACATGTTTCCCATGAATGATCACTCCCAACCCTCATAATGATTACTTCCATTTTACAGATGAGGACATTGAGGTTCAGAGAGGTTAAGCAACTCACCCAAGGTCACACAGCCAGTGAATGCTGGAGCTGGGATTCAAATTCAAACCCCTCAACTCCAAAGTCCATGGGTCCCTTTGAGTCCATATGCAGCTCAGGATAAAGAGGAACTTCCGTTATCCATCAGCTCATTCATTCATTCAAAACACATTTATAGGCCAGGTACAGTGGCTCATGCTTCTAACCACTTTGGGAGGCTGAGGAAGGAGGATCATTTGAGCCAGGAGTTTGAGAGCAGCCTGGGCCACATCACAAAATTCTGTCTCTACAAAAAATAAGTCAGTCAGGCATGGTGGCACCATCCTGCAGTCCCAGCTACTTGAGAGTCTAAGGCAGAAGGACCAAGCTCAGAAGGTCAAGACTGCAGTGAGCTATGATCGCCACTGCACTCTAGCCTGGACAACAGAGCAAGATCCCATCTCAAAAACAAAACAAAGCATGTATTAAGTTCCTGCCAAACACTTGCAGGCAGTGGGGATTCAGCAGAGCAAGGCTGACCAGGGATCAGATACCTTAGAACTGATGTACTGTAGACAGAAGCACAAAACAACCAACAGGGTGTTTTCTCTTTTTTCTTTCTTTTTCTTTTTGAGACAGGGCCTTGCTCTGTTGCCCAGGCTGGAGGGTAGTGGTGCGATCAGAACTCACTATGGCCTCGGCCTCTTGGGCTCAAGCAATCCTTCCCCCTCAGCCTCCCAAGTAGCTGGGACTACAGGCATGCATCACCACACCTGGAAAATGTTTGTAGTTTTTGGAAAGACAGCATTTTGCCATGTTTCCCAGGCTGGATTCCAGTGATCCTGGGCTCAAGTGATCTGCCCACCTCAGCCTCCCACAGTGCTGGGATTACAGGGCCAAACACAGGCTACTTTTTTTCTTTTTGTGATGACGTCTCACTCTGTCACCCAGGCTGGAGTGCAGTGGTATGATCTCTGCTCATTGTAACCTCCGCTTCCTGACTTCAGGCAATTCCTCTGCCTCAGCCTCCCGAGTAGTTGGGATTGCAGGTGTGTGCCTCCACGGCCAGCTAATTTTTGCATTTTAAGTAGAGACAGGGTTTTGTTACGTTAGCCCCGCTGGTCTCGAACTCCTGGCCTCAAGGGATCTGCCCACCTCGGCCTCCCAAAGTGCTGGGATTACAGGTGTGAGCCAGCCCTGCCCCAAACAGAATACTTTCTAATAACAATGGGTGTTATAAAGAACGGGACACTGGACCTCAGGCAGAGGGACCACATCCTCTGGTAAGAAGGAGCCAGCTAGCCAGCAGGGGAAAAGCCATTCCAGGCAGAGGGCACTGCCAGTGCAAACGCCCTGCTGGAGAAGAGACGCTGAGATTGAGGAATAGAGAGGTCAGTGTGGCTGGTGTGGAGAGAGGCAGGGTGAGGGGTCAATAACGAGCAAGTCCAGGCTGGGAGGCTTGGAAAGCATTTATTCAGCAGGAACTTCTACTCCAGCAAATTTAGCAGAGAACTCAGTCTACATCCCTGTTGGGCCTCGAGAGTGGTCGTGTTCAGAACCTGAACATCTAGATAGGGAAATTAATATCTGGTGAACTCCTATATATACTTCAAAACCCATCATTTTTGTCCAGTGGGAGTTAAAAAGCCACAGCATTTTCCCTAACCCCATCCCACCAGCTTTCCCAGAAGTCCAACCAGAGAAGGAGATGAGGTTCATTTAGCTCTTATCCTAGCACTCAGCACAGGCTCTTATGAGGTATTCAGTGGCTGATGGGGCCTGGCGCAGTGGCTCACACCTGTAATCCCAGGACTTTGGGAGGCTGAGGCAAGCAGATCACTTGAGCCCAGGAGTTTGAGACCAGCCTAGGCAACATGGCGGGACCCCGATCTCTATAGGAAATACAGAAAGTTAGCTGGGCATGGTGGTGCACGCATGTAGTCCCAGCTACTCAGAAGGCTGAGGTGGGAGGATCAACAGCCCGGGAAGGTTGAGGCTGCAGTGAGCCATGATCCCACCGTGACATTCCAGCCTGGAGGACACAGTGAGAGAGACTGTCTCATAAAGTGGACATTGGACAGAAAGGAGAGAAGGAAACCCAACATACCTAGCCCCCTTCCTGTGGGACAGTCATCCGGTTGTTGGGACCGGCTGGGACAGATTTAGGCTTTGTCCAAGAAAGAATGGCCCAAATTTCCAAAACTGAAGCTGCTGCCCTACATGAGGTAGTGGGTTCCCGGTCCCTGGGAAGTATGCAAGCTGAGCCTGGACACATCTCATCAGAGATGGTGCAGGAGAGGGGATATCTTCCCTGGGAAAGGTTGGTTGGACCAGGTGACCCCCCCCCCCCCCCCCCCCTCAAATCTCTCCCATCCCTGAGAGAAGCTTCTTCCCTGGCCCTGAGCATTGAGCCGCCACCATCCCCCATGCCCTTGGCTTCCAGCCATGACCGGCGACTCTGTCCTTGAAGGCAAGAACAGTATGATGAGCTGAAGGACGAGGTCACCTCCTGCAGCCTCCACAGGTCGGCCCACAACGCCACGCATGCCACATATACCTGCCACACGGATGTGTTCCACTTCGTGGCCAATGACATTTTCAGTATCAACATCATAGATCAGTCTGGCAACTACTCCCAGGAGTGTGGCAGCTTTGTCCTGGCTGAGAGCAGTGAGTATCCTGAGCCGCCAAGCTTAGGGTGGGGCTCAATCTTAGCCCACCGCAGCTGCCTCTCCAGGCTCAGGTGATCCTCCCACCCCAGCCTCCATGGGACAACAGGTGTGCGCCACCATGCCCAGCTAATTTTTGTATTTTTAGCAGCGACAGGGTCTTGCCATATTGCTCAGGCTGGTCTCAAACTCCTGGGCTCAAGTGATCCACCCACCTTGGCCTCCCAAAGTGCTAGGATTATAGGTGGGGGCTGGGCCCCCTACTTGCTGCCCTCTGGGCCAGCTCTTTCCCTTTCATTAGATCTAACCTGGCCTATGTCCTCACCATGTATTAGAGTTCTGCTTTTGAGTTGTGCTATTTTTTTTGAGTTGCGCTATTTTTTTACTAAAGTGTGAAGGGTTGATAGTAGGTTTGAGCAATGTGGAAGGAGCTGGTCTGGGACCTGGGACTTCTGGGCTCATGTTCTGGTTCAGCCCTGCCCCTCTGTCTGACCACAGATGAGGCACACCTACCACTGGGACAGCTTTCCCACTTGTAGAGCAAATGTCCTTTTAACCCTGACTCTGGGATCCTGTTCCCATAAGTGGAAGACACTGAGTCACAGAAAAAAACCCTCCTGGATTTTTCCCTTCATAAGCTCCAGGGAGGCCTGGAATTTCCCTCCAGGCTGGAGATAGACGGGGGTTCCCAGGGGTAGGAGGGCCTGGTTGATGGGATCAGTTGTATCTGTGAGTTCAGAACCAGGGCAGGTGGCAGGGCGAGGCGGCTCACACATGGAATTCCAACACTTTGGGAGGCTGAGGCAGGAGAATTGCTCGAACCTGGGAGTTTGAGACCAGCCTGGGCAATATAGTGAGACCTCATCTCAAAACAACAGAAAACAAGAACCAGGGCAGGGACAGGCATGGTGGCTCATTCCTGTGGTCCCAGCACTTTGGAAGGCTAAGGCGGTTCAATCGTTTGAGGTCAGGAGATCGAGACCAGCCTGGACAACAAGGTGAAACCCTGTCTCTACTAAAAACACAAAATAAGTAGCCAGGCGTGGTGGCGCATGCCTGTAATCCCAGCTACTTGGGACGCTGAGGCAGGAGAATTGTTTGAACCTGGGAGGAGATGGATGTTGCGGTGAGCCACGATCACGCCACTGCACTCCAGCCTGAGCGACAGAGTGAGGCTCCGTCTCAAACAAAACAAAACAAAACAAAACCAGGGCAGGCCATGGAAGGGCCTGGAAGGTAGCTTTGGCATGGTGGGCATGGAGTGTGTGTGTGTATGTGTGTGTACCCAAAGCAGCCCCGGAGGTAAACACACGCTACAAAAAGCGTCTGTCCTTGGGGAGGCCCCGCCCCCGAGCTTGGGAGTTTCTGCCCTGAGATTCCCAGCGGAGGGGCTGGGTGATAAGAGTGTGCCTGTGATCCATACTCTGGGGGGCCAGGTTTGCACCTCTTTGCTGAGTGGGTGTCACACCACAGAGGGCGAGAGTAAACACACTCTCTGCGCATGCACGCTCACACACATTCCCAGGGTCACAGACTCACACACACACACACACAGACTCAGAGATGCACCCTCAAACTCACAGATGTCTCCCCAGCCCCGGCCTGCATGGCGAGGACAGAGGCCCACGCTGTCTCTCTCTTTTGCTCTCTCTCTTTTTTTTTTTTTTT